GCTACGGCTGGCGCAACCGCCGCATGCTGGGCGAGCGCGCCGCCGCCGCCGCCGACGCCAGCATCACGGCCTTTGGCGGCCGCACGGCCGGCTTTGCGCCCGACAGGACGCCCGTCACCAACACCAACGGCGCCATGTACTTTGGCAGCCAGGGTGTTGACTTCATGGGCGGCACCACCACCGCGTTTGACAACTTCGGCAACCCCTTCATGAACCAGGACGGCAGGGGCCAGATCCGGGGCCGCAAGCTGGGCGAGCGCGCCAACCCCACTACGATCTCGGCCGCCGCGCCGGGCAGCGCCGGCGCTATGGGTGGGGCGCCTTTCACCTTTGCCCAGGCCCAGGCCATGCACGCCGAGATGATGGCCGCCGCCGGGGAGCAGCACGCCTGGGCGGCCGCCATGATGGCGCCGCCAGCAAGCAAGCCTGCGGCTGCCGCCGAGCCCGCCGCCGCCGCGCCCGCCGGCAGGCCTACCGGCAAGCCCGCCCTGCCGGACCCGGCGGCCGCCGCGCCGGCCAAGGCCGTCGCGCTCCCCGCCACCGGGACCCTGCAGGCCGCGGCCGCAGCGCCCGCGGCTGCCGGAGCCATGCGCGTGATCCAGGCGCCCGCTGTGATGATCGGCAACGGCATCACGCCTGTGGCATAGCTGCCTGCCGACCCCAAGGCCGCCATCCCCTCTGGTGCGCCCTCCGGCGCAGACGCGGCCGCAGCCGGGGCGGCCCCTGCCACCCCCGCGACTGTCGCGCCCGTCAAGGGCCAAAACACAGCTGCTGCGCCCAACGGTGCCGGCGCCGCGCGCGCGACAAACCCCCGCCTTTAGATCGGGCGGCGCCGTGACCACCACCAGTGCCAAGGCGCGATGCAGGCGGCTCTGTCCTTGGACCCCGGCTCTCGTGTTATGATGGCTGGCGCTGGTGTGGGTGCACTGTTTGCAACAGGCAGGCCTTTATGGAGTACATCAAACAGCATGTTGTTCCTGCATTGCGAGTGGTGATTGTCTAAACAACTGCGATCCTTTCCTACCACTTCAAATTCAAATGCTTTTTTAAAACATTCATCACCTAGTCCTTGCTGCATCGTGGACCCTTTCTCCACCTGCCGGGCTCAAATGCTGCCTCCTGGAACCGGCTGAGCCGCCGCACGAGGCGGCCTGCATCACCTTCGTGGTTGCATGATCATGATGACAGACCTCCACACATTAGTGTGGTTCTGATGCACGATCAGCCGCCGAAAGGCGTGGCATGAGGCGCTAGCAGCAATGCCGGCTTTGGTCGTGGTCGCAAACATTGCACGTCAATTTTTTTGTAACACTCGCAAGTTTGATATCCTTTTCAGCTAGCAGTTCAACTGCCTCTTGTCAAAGGGCATCGCAGTCCCAGTGTTGACCAATGGGTGGCCAGGTTTGACCGGCTGCTGGCTTGTCCATGCAATACCGCGGGAGCCACCCCCACCAGCCTCTGTTTTGCCAGGGCCCTGCATCCAGCCCTCGTTGCGTGCTATGACCCTCTTGGCGAGCATACAGGCAGACGGCGTCGGGACCAAGCATGGCGCCTGCAAGTGAGGCAGGGCGCTTGAGGACTCGCGGCCCTCAGGTGAGGCTTCTGCAGGCTCTGCTGACTGCACAGTCAGCACGCAACTGCTTGATGTGAGCAAGGTGACGCCAGCTGACGCACTGAGTTGGCCCATGTACACTGTGGCAGCAAAGCCTTTGTGATCGGGTGATTACACGCCTGCTAGTGAAGGGAAGTGCAGGCAGAGCGCAGAAGAGGGAGAGAGAGAGACCAACAGGCAGGGGAGGCCGGACGCGCGACGCGGGGCGAGGTCCCTGGCAGGATGGGCGAGGCCGCGCAGGGGGCGCGGCCGGCACCCCTGCCGCAACGGCAGCGGCGCGCAGCAGCTGCAGGACGACACCAGCTCGCTCCTGGAGCCCCGCGTCCAGCCGCCGCCTGCAGCCGCTGACGCTGACGCGTGGGCGCGGCCCGCGCGGTCGGCGCGCTCACGCGGCCGTGCTGGGGTTGCGGCGCGCCAGGAAAGGCAGCTCCGCCTCATCCTCGTCCTGGGGTTTGTGGGCGGCGGGTGCAGTGGGGTGCAGGGTTCAGGGTCCTATGAGGGCCGACCGTGGGGGGGCTTCAGTTGGCGCATCGCAGCCGCAGGGAGGCGGCTTGTTAGAATCCCGGGCTGCATATCTGCACCCTTCATTATTGATGAAGGCAGCCCGGGGGGGTCCCCTCCCATCTTCGCGTCGAACAAGCGGACAGGCCCTGGACGGCGTAAACGGCCGCTGCGCAGACCGTGCGCCCGGCGGCCGGAGCGCATCAGGTCATAACAGAACGAAACAGATCAGATCAGATCGCCAGATCACTCACGTCGTCGGCGAGGATGTCGTCGACGAGGCCATCCAGGGCCGCGTCACTGACGCCCGACAGCAGCTCCAGCACGTCGGCCTCCTCCTGGCCCTCCTCCGCACCCTTTGGGAGTTGAATTTTTGTCGTGGGTGAGGGTGAGGGTGAGGGTGAGGGTGAGGGTGAGGTGCGGCGTGGTGTGTGGGTGTTTGGAGGATGGTGTGTGAGTGCAAACGAGAGAGAGAGAGAGCCAGAGAGAGAGAGAGAGAGAGAGAGAGAGAG